TATTACTCACCCTAACTTTAAACCATTCAATAAACTGTCGGTTCCATTCTGTATCAGATAAGTGTTGTGCAGTATCCACATGAGTTTATGCAAACTCTCTACAAATTTGAAGTGAACCATAAATGTCATATAAAAAAAATTACCCTAAAGGAAATAAGGAAAATAAGACGGTATGAAAGAACTCTCCATACTCGAGATATGGTATGACTTCATCGCAATTCTTCATTATGTATATATGTGCTTGTTCCAATTCATTTGCTTCAAGCTCACATGGATCTTTAGCTCCCAGAGTTCTTCCAGGTTGGTAAAACATAGATAAACCTCCATTAGATTTTTTTAAACCTCCATCATAATTTCGTTCAGGTCGATTAAATTTTGTGTCAATAGTATGCAAATATCTTGAACATAAGGTCATACATTCATTTGCAATGTAACCTTGTTCAATAGAACCCTCTGGACATGCCCTATTATCAATCAGAGATTTTAAAAAATATAACCATCGTTCTACATGATACATCCACCGATAATGAGTAGGTCCAGCAATCTTAGCTTCACTAGCTAAATGAATAGGCAAGTGCACCATGACATCAAAAAATGAAGGAGGGAAGACCTTTTCTAACTTGCAAAGTGTTATGGGAATTTGCGCTTCAATTTGTTCCAAGTCATCAATCCTTAACTTCTTTGATCCAAGCACATTAAAAAATAAAGATAACTCAATAAGCGATTCACACACTTCTTTGGACAACATACCACGAAGTGCAAGAGGGAGTATATGTTGCAGAAGGACATGACAATCATGACTTTTCAACCCAGATATCTTGTGATCTTTCAGATTCATACATTGAGAAATATTACATGAAAACCCATCAGGAACCTTTAAATTCTTTAAGAATTGGCATAATTTGTGCTTAGCTTCGGGAGGCAATGTGTAGCATGTAGTTGGAACTTCAACTTTCTCCCCTCTTTGGATGGGGTGCAATTCCGGCCTAATATTCTTGTCTTGCAAGTCTAACCGAGTTTTAATTGTATCATTGGTCTTTCCTTTGACATTCATGATTGTTCCCATAATATTATCACATATATTTTTTTTAATCTGCATAACATCCAAATTATGTCGCAACAAGAGAGACTTCCAATATGGAAGTTAAAAAAAAATACTTTTCTTGTTCCAATTATCCTTTCGGTTTTCATGTGATATCTTCTTCCTTTTCTTTGGATCCTTTGTTAACTGTATCCCTTCAAGATCTTGCAGTTGATTAAGTATCTCAATACCAGAACATATTTTTGGTGGGAGCCTTTTCTCTTTTGTACCATCAAATGAATCCTTGACATTCCTCCATTTATGGCTAAGAGGAAGTTTGAGTCGATGACCCATAAAGCATTGCTTCTTACTATTAGCCAATCAAATTGAGGAAGTGTCTTTATTGCAACATGGGCATGCCAATTTTTCTTTTGTACTCCATCCAGATAAATTTTCATAGGCTGAAAAGTCATTGATGGTCCATAACAAAGAAGCATGCAACTTAAAATTTTGTCTAGCCAATGCATCGAAGGTCTCAATGGCAACTTCCCACAACTCCTTCAATTTCTCTATTAAAGGTTGGAGATATGTATCAATTGTATCTCCTGGACTATCAGGACCAGGAATAAGCATTGACAAAATAAAATTTTCTTGTTTCATACACAACCAAGGTGGTAAATTATAAGGAATAAGAACAACAAACCAAATGCTATATGAAGTTTTTGAATTTCGAAATTGCTGAAATCCATCACTAGCAAGTCCAAGTCGGACATTACGAGGCTCGGCCGCAAATGAAGGATGAAGTTCATCAAATGACTTCCACGCCATTAAATCAACTGGGTGCCTCATTATTCCATCATCAACTCTTTTATCCTTATGCCATGTCATTAAAGAAGATGTCTTTGTAGACATAAACAACCTCTGAAGCCTAGGCTTTAATGGAAAATAGCGTAAAGTCTTTGATGTTATCTTCTTACCTTTTTTATTCCTTGTTTCCCCGCTATGTCTATCTATTTTCCATCTAGACGCAGCACAAACTTTGCAAGAATCAAGTAAGCTATCCTTCTTCCAGTATAACATGCAATCATTAGTACAAGCATCAATCTTGTTGTAAGAAAGCCTAAGGTCTTGAATTATCTTCTTTGCCTCATAATATGATTTTGGAAAATTGGCGCCATCAAGTAACAACTCCTCTTGTAACATTTTTAATAATATTGTAAATGACTCATTACTCCAACGGCCCATACTTTTGATGTGAAGCAATATAATCAAAGAGGAAAGCTTTGAAGCTTTTGAATTTTGATACAGTGGCTGCTCGAAATCCTTCAATAGCCTGTAAAATCTTTTCGCTTCAATATTTGGTTCCTCCTCAGGTAAATCATCACAATCAGTGTGCACAATTCTTCCATCAAGATTAAGATATAGATCTCTCAACAGTTCTTGTACTTCATCTTCACTTTCACATTCTTCTACTTCATCACCATCTTCATCTTCAGATTCTGACAGTGGCTCACCTAAATTTTTCCCGTGATGATACCAACAAGTTTAGTTTTAATTATTCCATATACTTTCAAATGTGTCTCAACTGTCTTACGAGTTCCTAAAATTGACACAAGGACATTGTATTTCATATTCTTCTCATGTTTTCTGAAAAGCATAATCCAAAAACCTTTGCACTCCGATTAAGTAGGCTTCATCGAGCCGATTATCAACAAGTTGCATCCATTGCTTACTAGGTGCCATAACCGTGGAGAGTAAATAAAAATTAAATTAAATAAAGATAAAAGATAAGAAAATACTACGATTCACACTACCGTTACGATCAAATGAACACAACTAGTTCAACTCTAAGGTCGCACTTTCTAGTTGACTCGGCTCCTCTGTTTTTAGTTAATACATTGAAATATACAATCAGATGACACTTAGATAAATAAAAGATTATAAATTAACTTGTAATTAAAGATGCTGGTTCCTAAAACATGCATACATGGTTCCTTCTAGCCTGCTCCGAGATCGAAGTAAGTACTTACACCAAAGGAAAATATAACTAGTATACTTTATGACACAAGATCATCCAAACGCGCGCGACTTAAAGACTGCTTCTTGCTAGTTAGTGTGAGCTCATGAATTTCCCTAAGTTCTTAACATGTATCAAGATTCATGTTCGCTGCTATTTCTTTTTTCTTACAAACAAACACCCATATTCTATTGCTTAGTTATATGAAAGAAAAATATATGTAAATACACTGTTAGTTGTATGTTTGACATTACTTGGCTCATAAACTAACTTCTCCTTATAGTTCTGGATGATGAAGAAAGAACAGAGAAAAATGAAAACTTTTTTCATATGTAAAATACATACACTAATATATTGATCTCATAACACAACAACAAGAAATTGCAATCTTCGCAGATGCTATTATTGTTCAAATATACTAAAATACAATTGCCAGTAGAGACGAGAAGCGCTGGATTTAGTTGAAATCTTTTCATATGTAAAATCAAAACTGCAATAGGTGTAACAACGCTAGTCCCTGTTTTGGCTCGCAAAATCCCTCACTGAATACATAAAACTAATATGCCATTCATGGAATAATTAGCTTTCAAAACTGGTATGCACTCTGAATGAAATAAAATTCTTCAGACAATACGCTACAAACTTGAATACACTTCAGAAAATTACATTATCAAATCAGGAATCCCAACCCAATAATCTTTTCACTGATTATATAAACGAAAAAATACCAGATTATGAAATCTTACCAATTTTATAATGTTAGAGAAGAAGAAGAAGAACTCGAATAAAGTTGCAATCAGTGAAATCAGAACACATAGAGAAGTAAAAGAGCAACTTGAAAGAGGAGGCATACCTTGGATTCTCAAACGAGCGAGATGGAAACTAGGGCAGAGTTGAATTCGCACACGACCAGATTCACAATCTGTGTTTTGAGAAGACACAGATAAACGAGCGAGACCAGCTCTAAAGCTAGACGGAGATTAGGGCAGAGCTTTACTATGCGATACTATGTTTTGAGAATACAGAGGGTTTAATTTAGTTTTTAGAACCTTTTACTTTTTAGTTTTGGCGCCTAATATTTAGAAAATAATAGTTTTTTAATATTTTGGTATTAGATTTGGTGACACTCTCTCACACTCAAGGCCTCTCAATTATAATTTGGGACCAGTTACTATTTTTTTAGGGACCAGATTTAGTACCTTCGCAATAAAATAAAGCATTAAGGACCACAATATAATCTCGTCCCAATACATATATTATTTGCGACCGGATTATTAACTTGTCCCTAAAAGTTGGTCGTAAATAAGGTTTTTTCTTGTAGTGGGACTAAGTGTCCCAATTCACTCCACAACCTCCCCCAAACCAAAACAACTACCCCGTCAAGTCACGTAACCACAAATACACATATCTGAAGTATCAAATAAGGAAAACGAGGCTAAAATACTCAAAATGACCGGTCGGGTCGTTACATGTATCAAGCTCTCTTCTCTCACCGACTTAAAAAATTAGGTTTAGCTTCGATCTAGTTCTCCAAATTCACCTCGATTCGAAGGCTTAACAAGAAGCGTAGAGCTTTTCATATGATAGATAGAAGTTGACAGGAAATTATTGCAGGAACAGGGTTACTGAATATGTTCTAACTCTATGTAAAGAATTTAAGCTTTCAATCTAAAATCTTATGATAATGAGTAGATCAAACCAAGACTATCAAAACCTTGTTTTAAAGAGAATGTTGGGGTCTTCATTTATCAAGGTTTTGGGAAAAAATGCTTTAGAGTGAGAAAGTCTGATCTCTCTCTCAAAAATGTGCACTATGACTTTCCAAATTCGCTGCAAAAGCAATTCATGTCGTCAACCTGATCAGGAGATGACTATAACCCCACCTAAACCTTAACTTTGTTGTAAGAGTTAATTGTACATATCTATTTGTTGCTTACAACTAAATCGCAAATATACCACTGCTTCTATCATTAGGTCATAACCATGTTTTCATTAGTCTGTGTCTGTTGTAAAAGTGAAAGTACTAGAAATAGGAAATTTGCTCAATCACTAAAGAAAACTGATTTCATGGCTTACAAACGCATTAATTACAGCTTTTAGGAAGTAACGCAAAGAAACTAACATAATCTCTTCAGATTGCGGTGCATTCCAAACTTTTCTGGCTTGCTTAATTAGCTGGAGATTGCATAGTGGGTAATATGAATAACATCTTCAGGCCTTGATGGTGGATGACTTTTGTTTCTCATTCTCAAAGCTTGGTAATCTTTGTAGTAAAATCCTCTGTATCTTGGTGGCTCCCCAATCTCTTCAGTGAATTGTGGCAATGGTTCAATCCACTTGTCTCCTTGGATATTATAGAAGAAAGCAAACGAATGTCGGCTTTTTCCTATTTTTCTCACAACTCTATGAGTTGCACTCTTAAATTTGTTGTTGCTCAGCACCTTCAATAAGTATCCAAGTTACACAAAAAGATCAGTAACACTACCAAATTTCTAGTAAGAATTTATTAATTACTTCTCTTTTTTCAATTTATATGACGATGTTTGGCTGGTCACAAAAAGTTTAAAAAAGAATGGCAGATTTTTCAAACTTGTAATTTTACGCATGTCATGATATTTATATATGTAGTTATAAGAATATGTCACTAAGGATAAAATGAGAAGTTTAGAGTTAAATTGTTTTCAAATATAAAAAAATATAACTTTTTGTGGAACAAACTAATAAAGAAAAAGTGTCACATTAAATGGAACAAAGAGTATAATCGGAGGTAAAAGCCCGCACCCACTGTTCTATACCAGATAAATGATGTAAGACACGTGTTTTTCATACACATTTTTATCACTTAACGATGGTTATGGTATGTATTCTCACTTTAAGAGTTAGCTGCTAAGGTTAAGTTACTTAGTTTGGCGTAAATGCTGGGTGCAAAGCCGGTCCAAATGTTAAAACTTTTACCTGAATAACATCACTTATATTGACAACAATTCTGCCTTCAGCTGGAATTACCGGAATCCATTCTCCATTTTTTCGAACTTCTAGTCCACCAACTTCATCCTGGATGACGAATGTGATACAATTCCCATCTTCATGTTCACTTATGCCATTGTTTTCTGCGTTAGTTGCTGGATAGTAACGCAAAGCTACCATGAAATCCCAGCTTCTGTCATGATTATATTCCTTGAGGAAATTTGGAGGGAGGCCAAGGCAGTCATTCAAGATGCTCTCCAAAAGTTCACCAACTTTCCCGAAATGGGTAAACATCTCTTCAAGTACTTCCCTAGAAAAGAAAATTAAATGGAATTAATTGCGCTTGCTACCAAGAAATTAAAGTATTTTCATAAAGAAAAGGGTTTTGTGGGAAAAAAATATTTACTTCAAATAATTATTTTTCAGTATTTGGTTACCTTGGATGTGAAAAAAGATTTTTACTAAAGGGAGAAAATGACTTCCCTCATATACAAATGGATTCACTTTCTTACAAATATCTCGATTCTTACTCCGTAGAGGTGTTTTTAAAGGCGAGAGCATAAGACGAAGCATTTATTTAATTCAAGACGAGGCGAAAGTCTTCAGACATTGGGCGTAAGCCCCACAGATCTTTAATTTTTAAAATTTATGAATTAATAATATAGCATTATAACACCAAAAGAAATTTCAAAGATATATTAAAAATTCAAGAAAACTAAAAAGTATTAAAGAAACTCATATAAAATAAAATATCTCGTATGTTTTGCAAGTATAAATAATGCAATACTGTTAAATTTACTATGAAATATAAATTAACTACAACATCTTAACTTTTAAACAGTTAAATATCATAATTTCTTAAAAATATTATCAATCTGTATATTTTACCTCCTTAAAAGTAAATACTCACTAAATTTTATCAACACTATAATTTTAAATATTACTCCTTCATGAATAAATACAAAATTATTTTTAAATAGTAAAATAATAAATGTATGATGATTTTGATAGGCATAGAACTAAGACATAAAAATCTATCAAGTAAAGATATAAATTTTGGTTATCTATTTTCAGAAGAAATATTCAAATGATATTTACCCTCTCGATGTTATCAATTAGTAAATATATAATACTATGGTTCGTTATTTACAATTTTCATATTCTTCTAAATAAAAAGAACTTTTTATCATTCAATTGTTAAAGAATTTGACAGTCAACAATGTTAATTAGTGAATTCAATACATGATCTGCATAGGAACTGTGTTGGGCGAGTCTCGAGCGTTGAGCGTTAGGTGTGTTTAGGGCGCACAGTCGGGCGCTTGGAGGTATAATCCTCACAGAACTAAGCCCCACACATGAATCCCAAGACATTTGATAGTGCCCCGCCCCGGGGTGAGCCCCGAGGCGAGTCTGAGAAAAGCCTTTTAAGCGCTTTTTTTTTTTTTTAAGCGCTTACTTCAAAAACAGTAAGATACTGTTGTCAACTTTTAATACTTATAATTTATAATTGTCAAAACTATTCTCGTCTTACCTTATCCTGCACCTAGCACGAGTACTATAAGTCAACAATCGACCAAACACCGAAAAATGTTCAAGAAAATAGACATTATTCCTCCAAATCAAACACACAAGTGTACTTAGTAGTTGTGCTTGTCTACTTTTACATCTGATCAAGAGAGCTTCAATTGCAATTAATTGCACTAATTGTTTATTACATTCAATACAGATGAAGCTAATAAGAAAGATCAAATGTAAACGTACGTACTTGAAATCACATGGATTGCTTGGCAACGGATTGAAGCTGGAAGTAGGAGAAAACATGAGCAAGTATTCATTCTTATCAGCTGAGTGTTCAGGTTGCTTGCTGTAACCAGCTGGAAGAGGTGAACTTGATCCAGGACTTGATTTTTGCTTCTCCTCATCTGGGTATGCAAAGAATGTCTTTGATAGGCTCAGAGCGCGATTCATCACATCAAGAGGCACCCCATGGTTCACTATTTGGAAAAACCCATAGTTGGAGCAGGCTTTGGTTATACTGTTCATAACTTTGCTCTTGCCAATTTCATCACCGTCTGTAAAGAAAGGGGAGAGATCTATTGTTGGAATTGCAACATTTTCAGCCATTCAGGGTCTTACTTTTATTGTGATTTGTGACTTGTTTTCTTTCAGTCCGCCACAGCAGAATGCGTTAGGATAAATAGAAGCCACCTTACTTTTCCTGTCCTACTAGATCAATAATTCAAATAACAGAAAAAAATTCGTCCTCGACGGCAATAGATTACTTTATTCAATTTTGTGCAAATAAAATGAGTTAGTAGGAGAGAACTACAGCAAACATATTCATTTTTCTCGTAGGTATGTGATTGATTATTGGGAGGAAATCCAATTATTGCTATGACAGCCATATATAAGTCAAGAAAAATGACGTTGGTGCATTAATTTCAATTTAGCCGAGCAGGAGTCAGCTAGGAACAACTTATAAGACATGAGCGCTTGTCGTTTTCCTTACCCATAGGCCAAAGAAAGATACTTCGTCTATTCCAATTTATTTCAAATAGTTTGGCTCGAAACAAAAAAACAATTAAGAAAATAGATCTTGTGGTTTTAAAGAGTCCGGAACTAAAACAATATTAATATGGAAAAAAGGAAACAATATTAATATGGAAAAAAGAAAACAATACTACATATAGCACATGCATACCAATAAAAATGTATAAAACGATCATTCTCCGAATTTGGTCATAGATTTGGGGTCATGAATTTGACAAATGCCGATTGACATGAAATTTAATAGGTCCACCGAAAATAAATTTTTGGGTGTTTCAGGTTCGTTTAGATGTGAGTTTAAGTAGTTTATCGGATTAAATGAGTTTTAAATATGAAGAACTATTCTTTATGTCAGTTGTATTTGTGTTAAATCTAGAACACGAGTACATAAGATGATTCAACTTATATGAAAAGAATGTAAATCATATTGATTTGATCATAAATTCGCCTAAAATGATTTATTCAAATTTGGTCTAGTTTTGGTGATCATGAGTTTCATGATCTCCAATTGACCTAAAATTTGATGGGTTCATCGGAAATGATCCGAAAAGAAATATTCATTGTTATGCAGTGAATTATGTCGTATTTCGGCAGTTTGAGGTTGTTTAGATTGGTTTTTTGGCGATTTGCAGGATTAAAACGTGATTTGAATATGAAAAGTCATTCTTTACAGATTTATTTATGTCAAATCTAAAATATAATAATACATATCGATTTAACATAAATTGATATATGATAAGAATGTATGCCATATTTTTAAATTCCTAAAAACTACTTAAAATAGTAACTTTTCGAACTTGGTTGCAGTTTGGAGATCATGACTTTTACAATTTTCGATTCACCTAATATTTAGTAGGTACATCAAAACCACCCAGTGAGCTATGCATACTGCTATGCAGTGATTAACACATTTATTTTTAGCATTTCAGAGCTGTTTGAATGGGGTTTTGGGGATTTTTTCGAATTTTGAAACATAATTTCAAGGAAAATATATGGTTGTGATTATGTGGTGATAGGAATTAACCCCTATGGTATACGCTATCAATTTATAGTGAGATAATAAATTTATATATCGACTTTAAGGTTTTCTCCATATCGAATAAATTTATTATAAACTCACTGAGTATAATTACTAGTTATTGATAACCTGCATTGACTCTCCATCTAAGTTTACACGTTGAATCAATTTGTAGTTATAATGCAATCATGATTAAGTGCTGATAGAAATATGTTTGTATGAGCTCCTACTATTTATTTTAAGTGAGTAATAAATATACGCGTCGACCTTAGGTCTTCCTCCATATCAGATAAATTTATTATAAGCTTAGTAGGTGAAATACTTGTAATTGATATCATGAATTTACTCTCCATCTCAGTATACATGTTTGATAAATAGAACTAAAGAGTATACTCTTCATCTTAGTTAAGTCTGTTTTAATTTATTGGAGTGAATAATCTGGCATTATGTATGTATGTATGTATGTATGTATGTTGCATGAGTAGTTCTTTTCTCGTCGAAATTTGCTATTTCAAGATGTATGTATGTATATATATATATATATATATATATATATATATATATATATATATCTGTGTGTGTGTGTCTGTGTGTCTGTCTGTGTGTGTGTATATGGGATATGAGAAAGGTTATGGCGTTATATACGCACCACCACCTAATCAGTTGGTATACGTTGATAATTTTTCCCACAGTGGCCAAGATGATATGATGGGATGTCCTCAGAGGCATATGATGTAATGAAACATGTACCTATGCACGACATGACATCCATACGCATATGCATGATACTATAATTATTTCATGATTTGCAAAGTTATTCAGACTTACAGGTGGAGTCATTTACTCTATATTTCCTCCATGTTTGTTATGCACTTATTTATGTGCCTTGCATACTCAGTACATTATTCGTATTGAGGTCCCTTTTTGCATGGGGACGCTATGTTTCATGCCCGCAGTTCCCAATGGATAGGTCGAGATCCCTCCAAGTAGGCTATCAACTCAGCGGAAGATGTTGGTGTTCTCTATTTGCTTCGGAGTTGCTTGTTTGGTTAGTATGAGTAGATGTGTATTGTTTGGTATGGTAGAACTCTGTCCCGACCTTTATGAAAATTATGTATTCTTAGAGGCTTGTAGACATATGTCATATAAGTAAAAGATTGTATGGCCTTGTCGGCCTATGTTCAATGTTCAAGTGGTTATTTTGGTCTTAGAGGACGATATGTCTTATGTATAAGTTGGCATTACATGTTGTATTCTACCTATTTCACCGCAGCCTCTCTGGATCAGTTATCTATGATAGTATGACATTAAAAGATACATTATGTTGGTACTCGGTTGAGTAAGGTACCGGGTGCACGTTGCGGCCCATCGGTTTGGGTCGTGACAAAAATGGTATCAACGCAGTTCTGTCCTAGGGAGTCTACAAGCCGTGTCTAGTATAGTCTTGTTTATGGGTGTATCGTGCACCACATTTATAAGCAGGAGGCTACATGGCATTTAGGATTGTCACTCTTTCTTCTTACTCTAGATCGCGTGGTAGAGCTCACTTATAAGAATTCAAATTCCGAAATTTTATTTTATTTGTAATAAGGTGATACCTACATCCGAAAAGAAGGTTGGAAAGAGAGGTAGCTGTGGAAGAGCTGAGTCAGAGGAATTCAATTTTTGTATGGTGCCTACGATAAGTAAATGTGAGGTCTTTAGCAGATCATGGGTGCACTAAAAGGTGTAAGCTTCCTGATAAGAAGCCTTAAGGCAAGAATGCCTATCTATCTTTATGGTAAAAGATAATGAGAGATTAAGAAGATAAATACAAGTTTGAACAAGCAAAAGAAGCAAGATGAAGAAGGGTACTAGGCGCCAAGTTAATGAAGGTTAACAGTGTTTATAATTCAGGCAAAGGAACATAAGTTTTTTTTGAGTTATATTCAACAGTAACAGAGGTATGTACAATTGGTCACACCCGTTTTAGTTATGCCCTGTGGGGGATAACAGGTACAGTAAGAGAAGCACGGGATATCAAGATCCGACTATGGTTAGGGTAACCCAAATTGGTAAATGGATTGCTTGTGTTAGTTGACATTGCCGAAGGATATGACAAATGTGCTAATAGATTTCCTTGTGAGACACCCAGATAGTGTACTCTAAAATATTACAATTAGATGAGAATACTAGCGTGATCAAAAATAATTCCGAAGATAGGCATTAAAAGCCTGGAAGGGATAAATATTACCTTAGTGTGACTCTCGTTCCTAGTAGAGCGAGGACATTGAGCAACCCAAAAAGCCGATGAATGAAGCAAGGAAAGCTAAAAACCTGTGTTGAAGTTTTCACAAGAAAAGGGATATGCAAAAATATTAGCAGAGTAATGAGAAGAGAGATAAGGAAGCATTATGAATAAGGTGTGCTACATGGATGACAACGGTAGAGTATTACAGAACCTATAGTCAAATGAAAAAAGAGACTAAAGGTGATCGGCTTTAAGACAACCAAAGAATATAGGATATACAGTCACATCCTCATCTCAAGGAATAAGTTCTTGACTCTAACGTGATTACCAGAAGCGAGAATTAAACCCCTGAATAACAGAAATTAGTATGGGCTGGTGAACAAGATAAACTAAACATGAATTAAGGACTGAGTGATTTGATAACAATCGGCATCATGAGAATATCAGATTGCTTTCCGGCGATAATAGGGTGGACAACAGAAGAAGATTAATGAGAAATTCAGGGAATGGTCATTTAGGAAGATGCTTCCCTAAAGCAAGCAGTGTGAACAAAGTTAAGCTTATGCGACTATATGTTCCAGTTACACTAAGTGTCACCATCGCGAGGGGGGGATTTTGTTATCCTTGGTACAGAAGGATTACCGCAATGCGAGTAAAGGTCATTGATAATGTGAAAAGACACCAAAGATGAAGAGGAAAAATATCTGTTGGCAGGTCGTCATAGTTCCATGTCTTAGTACTCCCTTAAAGGGGGGAATATGGAATAATAAAAGGAAGAATGCGATAAAAATGAGATTGCACTTATCCAAATCATACAGATATGCTATGATTCTATAACATTATGTAAGTACAGCGTCAGAAAAAGAAAGGAGCCAGTACATGAGGTAAGTTAAGACAAGGAAATAACCCAAGAGAGATTACGCAGAATATGGATATGAGAATGGGCCAACAAGTAGTTAGTAGTCGATTCAAGAAGAGCCTAGTCTTGACTAGACAAGAAGTTACGGACAAATCAATAGATCATATAAGACGAATGTAGTAAACCCCAACATGGAGAATTCAGCCTCGCAGTAATGTCATTATAAAACTTGAGACATACTCAAACAGGATTCGGGGTAGTTAAAGGTATCGTATGGGTGTTACAGGGATAAAAAAAGTGCCACTGGGAAGGCAATCAAAATATCAGTTCAGAAGCAACCTTATAAACATAAGGGCACAAAGGTAAGCAACTACGGATAGTTATAGGCAAGGAAGGACATCAAGAAGTCCGTAATAAGCTCACAGCTTTACGAGGGTCAAGGGTTCTCCCTAAATACTACAATGAAAGACTAGCTAAGGAAATAAGGAAGAAGGGTTCAACTTAAGCACAACGACCTAAAGAAGAATGGTCGCCACAACATTATAAGCACTCCAAAGGAAAGTGGCACCTACAGTGACAAATGAACGGGAAGTAAAATTAAAAGTAATATTCGAGATCATATGAGTTGTACGAAATCTCTGGTATGTGTGGGCACTAAGATAAGCTAAGTATGGAGGCAACAATGGGGCAGAAAGACCAGGAAAAGTAATAGCTTACGTTGAAAGA